TAGTTGGGACTGAAAGGGTTAAACAAACTGGTACTTACAATCGTTTCGTTAGAATAATTTGGGCACGTTTCATCTCTACGAATTGCTGCAAATTGATACAATTAGGCTGAGTTGCGCCACCTAACTTTAACGGTAACTATGACGGTAACCGGTGCTTTTTATATGGAGTTTGACAGATTTTTGACGTTTGTAAAAGTTAAAGTGAGATGGTGCAACCCAGCCTTAGAAATTACCGTGTGCATACTGCATATGCCTTCTTTTGTTGAAGTATTAGCCATTGAACTTTATTTATACTTAGTGCTTCACTATTTTTCTCTGTATTAGTTTATTTCTTTATTTCTCTTACTTGATTTTTCTCAAAATATCAGCCCTACCTCTCTCCGTTTGTCCCTACGTCCGAGACGATCGATTTGAATCCATTACGTGTTATGAAAACACCTTTTACGGAGTGCGCCATTGAAATATAATACTAAAGTGACAAATGTAAAACGTGGGCACATCGGGGACCGCAAGTAGCATCGATGATACAAGCGAAGAGCTAATGTATCTGCTTCCTTTGGGGAACAGGGAAGACTATTTGAAGAGGGCTGACTTATGGAGAAAATATTAGATATACCTTACACACCCCACTTTTTCTGTCAGCACCAATCATCATTATGTAGAACTTCGTGTTGTTTTAGAGCGATCCAGCGAAATAGGTGGTCTTGCAGACTAAGAATAATGTTTTGCTTTATTGCTGGTACAAAAAAAATGTTTGATACTCCGTTTTGTAAAAAGAATACATTGAAACAGTTATTAATACAGGTACAGGATCGGCAAAAACATAGCATATTTCACGGAACAGACCATTCTTATAAATTAAGGATCTAGGTTAAAAATCTTGGGTATCAAGCAGCGCAAATATTTCAGGTCATACGGAAATATCGCCGGAGCTGGTATCTCATAGTGTAGCAGCTTGGCCGACGCTCCCCAAGCAAGGGGTAAACAAAAACAAAGTGCACTAAAGTACCTACATGTCACCAATTTCATGGTTTCGCTACTTAAATCTTTTTTGACATAGAACAAAACGCACATGTAGAGTCGCAAAAGCAATAGACAGTCAGAGAGCTATAAAACTGACCAACGACTCAGGGACACAATTTGTGTTAACATTCATAAAGTAAGTATTATTAGTTAAATCACATTTAGAATTTTTGGAAATTCTAACTTAATTAATACTCGTATTAGGTCAATTTGGTAGGCGGAAGTGAAGCGTGACGTTCCACCCATTAAAAAGAATTACGTTTAGAAGATCATTGTATCAAATACCTGTACTGTACCTATCTGTTCACCAGGATCATCGTAACAAACATTCGGATGGTTTTAAAAGGTGTGAAAGCAGCGGATGTAAGCGTACAATATATTCAGCGCTCCGCGGGAAGCCGCGGCGGATATTACAGCTGCTTGCACAAGCGCGACTAATTCCAGGGTTGAACAAGGATACCTACCAGAGTCTTCTGGAACCTGGAAATGTCTGGAATTTTTGCAGCCCAAGATCTTTATTAGAAAATTAGATTAGTAGACAAAATGACAATACCTAATTACGACGTGCATTATTGGTTGATGACTACAATACGGTGTCTATAAGGCCATCATAGATAAATGAAAGATAAGGTACAAGACTATGCCCTATTTTTTTTAAACAACTAAGTAGTAAGGAAATCTGGCTGATAGTATATCGTTACAAGACAAGTTTATTCAATGAATTGCCCTGAAACTGGTCCACCCACATGGACCTGACAATGAAATAAAAATAAATAAACACACTTGATTTCAGAAACTTTAAAAAACATAGCAACCCTGACTGGCTGAGTCGAGCACGTTTAAATTGCGTTTATTGTTAGTTGCGGCCGAAACGAATAAACAGGTAAGTGGGATTTAAACGATCGCTCGCACGACGATGCCGTATCATGGGCAGGCAATTGTGAACACCTTCGTACCACATTCGTACAGCGGTTAGGAAGTTCAATCTCATTCGGTTAAATTCGAGTAGAAACTGTAGTTGCAGCCATTCAAATGTTTTGCACAGGGTAAATAGACAAGAGTTATCTTGAAGTCCAGCTATCTCTCCTGGCTACGTGCATAAAAAGTTACGCAAAGAATACTAAATGCACCAATGAACATAATTATTAAAAACCATTAATCTTAACTCCATTTATAAGATTTATCTACGAATATAAGAACCTTTTTGAGTTGGCTTGATTATCGTCTAGAATAGAGGAACAAAACTAGCGTGTTATCCAACCGCCCTAGATAAAGATGTGGGGTAAGCGACGCGCGCGCACCACGCACGGAGCACGTGTGGTTTCAATATCCGCCTGTCAGCTGCCGGGCTGCTACGGAATTCGCTGGCTAGTCCTAGAGACATGCTCCTACTTTACTAACTCAATAAATTCAATATTGCATCAATGGATTTGTGCATTTTTTTGTAACGTTTGATAGTAGTAGCATCATAGTACGATCTCTCAAACCTGTCTGGCCAAAGCGTAGAGTGTAGGCCAAATCCTCCATTAGCCTCTGGTTTATAAGAGAGAGTCCCCTAAATAAATTGTATATTGCAAAGAATAAGCTGTATGTTTTCTAAATAACGAAAAAGTAACAAAAGAAATGAAAAATGACCCTATGATGATGGCTCAAAACACTCAACAGATTTCCAAGTTTATCAAGGCAAAGGAAGTTGATCAGATTGATCCGATAAGAACTATTATTTCCTTGCTTGGTAGATTATCTTCTAACTCAAAGTTAACGTCACTCAATAATGCGATTTCTACATTTACAATTTCTACTACTCATAGCTACTTACGCAAAACTGTTATTAGGAGAAGTTTACTTAGTATTTTATACTTCGTCAAACCACGCAGGTAACCCTTTTAATCGGTCGCATCTGCTGATCAATCAATCAATCAATCAATCATTTCAGCCACAGGACGTCCACTGCTGAACATAGGCCTCCCCCAATGCTTTCCATGTTGATCGATTGGTAGCGGCCTGCGTCCAGCGCTTCCCTGCTACCTTTACGATGTCGTCGGTCCACCTTGTAGGTGGACGTCCCACGCTGCGTTTTCCGGTACGCGGCCTCCATTCCAGAACCTTTCTGCCCCATCGGCCGTCAGTTCTGCGTACTATGTGCCCTGCCCATTGCCACTTCAGCTTGCTAATACGTCGGGCTATGTCAGCGACTTTGGTTCGTTTACGCATCTGCTGATGATAAATTAAAATACCTAAACTAACTTTAAAAAAATCTACGTAAAAGTATTTGTTTGAGGCTTGTCTCTAGGACTGTAAGCTCATGGAAATAGTGCAGTGTCGCGCGCCGGAACAGCCGGCTGCAGGCGAATGACTGGCTTATGTTCTAAGATGCCGGCAATATCTGCCTTATTGTGGCGTGTCTAGGCTATTTATTTATTCTACAATATTTCAGAATACGGTTGATACAAAATATTACCTGCCTGTCTCTCACGTTGCCGAAAACCCAAAAGAATTCACCCTTTCGCAGAAAAATAGTAATTAAGCAGTTACTCGAATAACCAAATCAACGCATACCTTCTTTATTCATCTTTTCAGCCACAGGATGTTCACTGTTGAACTGAACGTCCTACGCTGTGCTTACCGGCACGTGACCTTCATTGAAGAACCTTAATGCCCCATCAGTTCTGTTTTGCATGATAAGTGCCTCTGAGCTAAAACCTGTGGTAATGTAATTTATTATGCTCCCTTCTCGTAGTGCTGTTCAATATCATAATCTATTGGTCAATTCTGTACATGAAATATATTTTCATAATAACTATCAGGGGGTGATTAACTGATTTAGTGATCGATACTGATGTCAAAAATGCAATCAGTAAAATTTTTGTCTGTCTGTCTGTCTGTCTGTATGTTCCTTAAAGAAACAAAAACTACTCAACGGATTTTAACGAAACTTGGTACAATTACTCTTCATACTCCTGGGCAGGTTATAGTATACTGAGGAATTCCCACGGGAACGGGAATTAGCGGGAAAATCCTTTTCTATGAAAAATCTAAACCGCTTAAATTAGACGCTTGAAGTTTGGCATGCAGGTACCATAGTAAACTTAAAGCTTAGTTACAACAGGATATTTCAAAATTCCCACGGGAATGGGAGTTAGCGGGAAAAAACATTTGTATGAAAAAATCTAAACCGCGTAAGATAGATGAAGGGGGTAAAACGGGATCCACGCGTACGAGGTCACAGGCGGCCGCTAGTAATTAAAATAATTCCATACTTAACTACCTACTTAAAGTACCCAATAACTATCATTATTAAAACCTATAACATTTAAGGCCAACATAAAAATACTGCAAAGAGGGCGCAAAGTGAAAAAGAAAAGCGTTTATTATTTTATCACCCTATACATCACGCGAATAGTAAGGGGAACAAACTCCGTGCTCGTATGGGCGAATGAAAAATCAATCCGTCAAATCCAATAAAATTGTGAAGCTCGATATTTTGCCGGACTTTATTTGTAGACACAACGACAGTGCTAGCGTAGTTTTCATTTTATGATTCGGAGGCAGAAATAATAAAATAATACTACAAAGGAAAAAACAATATTTGTGGCCAACAGTTAATAAACTCGCACTGCGCCTCTGTGGATTTTTGTGTGGGAATTGGGTATTGAAGTGGGAATAGTTTGACTGGACGGAAAATATTTTTATTTGCTTTGAAAAATTATGGTAGCGTGCGTCCACCACTGCACGCATATTTTGAAACCACAGCTGAAACATACAAGTTTGATTGTTTGATAATATTAATTTTAAAAAATGAATGTTGTAAAGTAATGTTTTTTAAGTAAACGCTGCTTCCTCTTCCTTCCCTCTCCAAGACTGATTCGTTTCAAAAATACCATGTAACGGTTACGTTATTTTAACATTAAAATATTTTTGAACGCAATGCAAAAACGTCAATGTCACTGAAAATGTCACAATGACAGTTCATTGACATTTTGCGGTCTGCACAGCTGATTACTGTTTTCTTTTGAGCAACTTTACTTTTTGTAGTAAAAATACATTAAAAATATTTCATATGGTGCTGATTTCGCGAGGCATTAAATCTATGCAAAATATATTACGATTGGGTAAAATTCAATTACGTTTTACAATAGTTCAGAAGGTTATCAAAACGTTCATAATTTGTGCGTAATTCTAGTGTTAATTTGTAACTTTAACTACTTCAGGTTCCCTGAATGTTACAAGGAAGATGTCGTCAGTACCAGGAGTAGTGGAAAGTACAATTCGAAGCAAGCTGCAGTCGGCTTTAGAAGCGAAACATCTGGATGTTATAAACGAGTCGTACATGCATAATGTGCCTAAAGGCGCGGAGACGCACTTCAAAGTTGTAGTCGTATCTGATAAATTCGACGGCTTGCCATTGATCAAGGTAACTATAGTGGTTTTAAAGCTTAAGAGATGTATTATCATGTTTTGTTTCATAAATTGAACTCTGCCAATAAGGGCCCTCTTTAGCAAAAAACCTGAATATCCTTGCCGATTCACATAACATGCCCAAAGAGTAAGATCTAAGATTCCAGTGCATTTTGTAGACAGATCAAGCTATATCTTGTCTATAAAATGTCATCAGAAAAAATGCTGTTTCTGATTTTATTCTAGAATTTATTTTATTTCAGCGACACAGACTAGTAAATGACCTTCTCAAAGAAGAACTGCAGACCGGAGTCCATGCTTTATCCATCGTAGCCAAGACACCAACGCAATGGGACGAAAGTGACAAAGTGGTGGAGAGCAGTCCTAACTGCAGAGGTGGTTTTGGGAAATAATAGGTTATTTAATTTTAGAATTATTAATTAATAATAATATGTATGTACTAGAACAGTAAATTGTTTATTTTATGGAAGTCTGCAACTTTTAATTCCTAATGTATCTTTTCATTTTTAGATTGAAACACCAACTTTGTCTAGAAATTGAGCTGATGGAATAGTCAAACGTCTTAAATTGCAATTTACAGTAGGTATCGACATCGAGTATCAAAATAGGTTTGTTTTTAGCGCAAGTGTGTTGGGGGCGTTGTTACTTTATGCTACCTACATGTATTGAGGGACTAAAATAAATTGCATAAATAAAATTCTCTAAAAAGAATTGTAAAATATTCTTTAATAATTAATACATACATAATTACTCTTACTCATACACAATCAGCACTATCACCAGCACATTCACACACAGTGTCCAGTCACACACACCGCCGGAACGGTGTTAGTTGTATCAGAGGTTGAAGTTGTCTAGGCGTAGCTTGCCCTCCTTCTCGGTAAGGTATAGTAGGTCGGCCATGGTCTGCTCGCATATAGCTTCTTCTGCTTTCTCGGACATCTGAAATTGAAAAGTCACCTTTTATTAATTTACTTGCTTTACCGTGAAATTTAGTTTGTCACAAATTTTCATAAATTATTCTGGGTTATAAACAATAATACTGTAAAGTTTCATCAAAATCCCTCCAGTAGTTTTTGCGTGAAAGAGGAACAAACATGTTGACATCCAGACATCCATACAAACTTTCGCATTTATAATATTAGGAAGTAGGATTTTTGATCCAAAGTTCGCGACAGCGTATTGCACTTTGCATAGCAAGAAACAAATTTTACGATGGCGCATTATATGCCCAAAAATTAGGTAGGTTACAACTTATAAGATAGACTGAACTTTAGCTACGAGATATGGGAAACGGGCTGTCTAAGATGATAGGTTTGATTCTAGTGTCCAATTTTTGTATTTGAATCCCTTGAATCATCCATGAACCGGGTTTTCTTCTTATAAATAGCACACTCTTAGAAATCCTATGCCGAGAGGCACGCCGTTTTGCGAGACATACTATAGTAAATAGAACTTGTAAATATGCATTGCCAAAGTCGTAGCATATGGCCAAGAACATACGGTGAAACGCAATTGCAATTTCATTTCAAATCGAATCGGTTTCAAACTGGTCGCGTGTGTGGTCTTTCAACGGAATCTATGGCAGAAACTTAGATGCAACTCAAAAGTAACTAGAAGTTGCAGTTTCGTTGCAATTGCGTTTCACCATGTGTTCTGGGCCTATTTGAAAAATAGGGCTTTATTAGCATACTCGAAAGACGTCCACTGCTGGACAAAGGCCTCCCCCAAGGATTTCCACAAAGACCGGTCCTGCGCCGCTTGCAGCAGTGGACGTCTTTCGGCTGAAACGAACGAACGAACGATTAGCATACTCACCGGTCGATAGTTGTATTCAATCGGAGGCGGATACTTGAAGTTGGGGCCAAAGTTGACGCTAACAGTGACGTTCTTATGCAACGACACAGACGGGTAGTAGCATCCCTGGTAAATATCTGCGAATGCCTCGCCCTGGCACTCGCCGTTCTTGAAGAAGTAAATCTTGCTGCCGGGGAGAGGCTTGAGATTGTTCAGAGATTCTTGGATGTTGTCCTTATCTTCATAGTAGAGGTGGCTCTTGAATTTGACTAGAGGCTGGAATAGGAAATACAGTTTTATGAGGTGAATGTCGACTGCGTTTTGGATATTACGATGTTATGACGGTTTTTAGTGTCTTGTGGATTTGCTCACGCTTCCGCTGAAAATAAAACGACCCACAATAATTCTTGGGCTACCTGTGACGATAAGAATCTCGACACTGGCCTGTTCTGCGCCATTTCGTCAGGTATCGACGTGTAGTTCGCAAAAACAATTTCATAGTAAATCGTTATAATAAACGCACAATGAACGCAGGGTGACCCCAGTGCGGTACCGTTATGCAACCCACAAAAAACTACACCTCAAATGGCAATGCCAGATTTTGTATGGAAAGTGGCGTCTTTTTTTTTTCGCGCGGCCATCGACCAAACTTTGTTTTTTGGTAACAAAATAGTGTAATAAACTAATCTTACTACGGCATGTATACCTCTAAACTCAGTCTGAACTGAGTTACGAGCATTAGAAGTTTGATGATTTTCATACTAGATTTGCTTTTTGTGCGCAAGTTTTGTAAGAAATTGCAACAAAATATTGCGCTATTTTTTTATTGCGCCGATTCTGCTCCATACTGATGTCTGGAGCCTTTAATGGATGGTATTGTTTGTTTACACATACAATCTCACTATTTTGTTGCTATTTCTTACAAAACTTTGCGCGCAAAAAGCAAATCTAGTATGAAAATCATCAAACTTCTAATGCTCGTAACTCAGTTCAGACTGAGTTTAGAGGTATAATGTCATAGTAAGTTTGGTTTATTACACTATTTTGTAATCAAAAAACAAAGTTTGGTCGATGGCCGCGCGAAAAAAAAAAGACGCCAATTTCCGGCATTGTCTTTGTGTTATATCCCGCAGCGTGAGAAAATCCGCGTGAAACAAACCTAAACGAGTTGAGATTGCTGTAGGTATATTAAACGATTAAATTTTTTGAGTGTGTCGTTTGCATACATTTTGTGAACGTGAGCGCTATTACTTGCCGCGTGCGTCGTGGAGCCTGCTGCTTCATATCGATGATAAAATCATCGGATTTTAAACGACATGTATGGGTTTATCGTCTCGATAAAAGTTTATCGTAGCTCGCATGTATGGGTTTATCGTCTCGATAAAAGTTTATCGTCTCGATAAAAGTTTATCGTTTCGATAAAAGTTTATCGTCTCGATAAAAGTTTATCGTAGCTCGCATTCTAGGCCTACTGGAGAGCAGGTAGGTACTCACGCGGTCCTTGTAAGTGTTGGGCGTATACTCGCGGCGGCTGTCTGGCAAGCGCACCAGGAAGCCCAGCGTGTCACCCTCGCCGTAACCGCCGGAACTGTAGTGCTTGCCGCGGGACTCGTGGAATCTGGTAGCATAAAAATGATTCAAGCTGTAGGAATTAAAAGGCGGTAGTATTTCTCCAGCTGTATTTGTAATTTTCCGTGATAAACCCTCGCTCCGTCATTATACAATCGTCTTCTGTTCTGTTTTCTTCCAAAATCACATCTTTCTTAATTACTCACTCATTCATTCCTTCTCACTCACTCTTGCGTCCTGTTTCACACTCCCACACTAGTTTCAATCAAAAGATGTCAAATGCTTGACAAAGGCCTACCGCAAGAATTTCCTGCAACGGCCGGTCTAGCACTATGCCAAAATAAAGTTATTCGTTACTTTCAATCAAACTATCAAATGTTGGACAAAGGTCTGCCTCAAACACTTTCCGCGCGGCGTCTTTCCATTCTATACATAGCCAGAACGCAAGGGTGTGAAACTAATCGAGTATAGTTTGGATATGACTTTTTTTACTAAGCTCCTCCAAACTATACACGACCAGTACGCATACGCTGCGTACTGCTCGCGTATACTTTGTAGTGACTTAGGTCAATTATCTTCCTCCAAAATATACATCGCCAGTACGCATACGGACTAATCATGTATGTATTGTAATAAGTGCGTGATTACAATTTATACGCGAGTAGTTGCATGCTAGTCATTTTGACTTATTGACCTCTCTTTCTATTACATACTAGCTTTCCGCCCGCGGCTTCGCTCGCGTGGAATTTTGTCTGTTACAGAAAAACAATATCGCGCGCGTATTTGCTCACCGTTTAGACCTACCCTGGACTACGACAAACATTTTAAAACCAAAATCAGCTCAATCGGCCCAGCCGTTCTAGAGTTTTAATCAGACTAACTAACATCAATTCATTTTTATTTATATAGATAGATTAATTCATATCTGCGTGTCTACTTTAAACATTGAATCATCTTACGACACGTGTCATTGTTTTGATAAAGGATTTTTTGGTGTTTCTTATTCTGCCATAGAAAAGATATTTGTTTTGGGGCTGATATTTCACCAATTGTAGGTATGGAAATATGTCAAAATGATTTTGTTCTTGAGATAAAAGTTAATAAATAAAATAAATAATAAATAAATATCCTTAGACATTTTACACTGCGCTTCTAGTCCCAAACTAAGCAAAGCTTGTACTATGGGTACTAGACAACGGATATAAACATAATTAAATACTTTTTTTTGTAAATACATACTTATTATACATAGAAAACACCCAGTCCAATACAAACAAATATGTTCATGCACACAAATGTTTGTACTGTGCGGGAATCGAACCCGCTACCACTTCGAACCACTACACCAAACGGCCGACAATACAAACCTAGCATTTAAAGTCTCGCATAATATTGTATTTAATGCGCGTTGAACTTTCTTCTCTCACTCTCTCTCATATTAATTAAATTGTTATTTAATTTGAAATCTACCTAATCAATTTAATTTCAAAAACCACTTACAATAGTGTTAAAAATCTAGATTTATTATAGATTCAGTAAAATAATAATATTTTATGTAATAATATCAAATAAATGTAATTTTACTAAATTTACTAAATCAATATCAACTAAACACACTCTAGTCAAGTGTAAGTGGTGTAGTAGAAACTAATCGAGTATAGTTTGGAGATGACTTTTTTTACTAAGCTCCTCCAAACTATACACGATCAGTACGCAAAATTCGTGTATAGTTTGGAGTCACAGATTTACAAACAGGCACTCCGAAATATACACGAGCAGTTTCCTATGGGTGCGTTCTGGCCATGTATAGAACGGAAAGACGCTTCCGCGCGACCCGTATCCAAGCACTACCAGCAGCCAGGTTTTTCCGTATCCAGGCGTTCGTACACTACGTCTACTGGACCTGTTCCCTGATAGCATTTCCCTGGTAGCAAAAGGCCATAAGAAACATACCTGCACCCCTAGACAAGTTGCACTTTTTATTCGAATCGAAACTGTCATAACTCCAAAAAGGCCTTTCGACCATTTTTCGATTATAATGTGCACTTTGTCTAGACCTGACACACTACATAATACCTTTGAAGTTTTTTTTTTTGTTAGTAAGTGCTATTGGAATGCACTTGCAATTGGAGCTAGTGGAGTACTCCAATTGCAAGGTAGATTAAGGCAGTGATTGATATTATAACTGTATGATTGTTTAAGTTTTGTTAAAATCTTTTAGACAGCTAACAATGTATGATACGTAGATTTAAAGCTTTTTGTTGTGTCTTCT